AGTCATAAGAAACTTAATTTGGCACATTTTATTTTAATTTAGGTATATAAAACAGTAGTATCTGTGATATATTTATTGTCCTATCAAGGAACATTTGTCCCCTTTCATAACTCACAGTTTTTTGTATGAGTGTTTCGATAAATGGACTCTGCGAAGACACTTCAAAAGCCGGCAACTTTTGAAGTGCTAATACAAAACCAGAGAAAGCTCCCGGACTTGCAGCCTATCTGCATCTCCCAAGCCAGACAAAGTTAAACGAAGTAGCAGGAAAAACCAAGGGTAAAGGACAAGCAATCTGGATGTCAGGTTCAATTAATCATCACAACGATAATTATTAATTAGGATAAATTACTCCTCTGGTCCTAAACCTACTCCATCTGGTTCGTATTCAAAACCTCATCCTTAAGTCCTCGAACTTCATTAGTTAAATGGACGTTCAGGTGAATCAGGTCCCTTGATACTACTATTATTTAAGCTTTTTGGACCCAGGTATAGAACAAAGAGGTTTTGAATACCAAACCTTTAACTTTAATCTCATACAGCCAGTACCTTCAAGAAATTTCTAAAATCCAAGTCAAGAACCCATGGATTTCAAATATTTGACCAGTTATATAGTCTTTGTCAATTGAGATATATTTTTTGACATGATTTTGGAACCAAATGCATGTAAGCTTGTTATTATTAATGGAGATTTGACCTAATAGCATATAAAGATATTGTTCGAGGAAAAAAGGGAGAGAAACAAGAAATGTCTGTGAATTGGTACTCATCCATATCTTGGTTCAACTGTAAGAATTTGTGAGCTAATTAATCCAATCAAATAAACCAAGAAACCCCAAAAAGAGGAAAACTGAAACAAAAGACACATTCATTGTGAATTTGGTCGAACTTGAATTCGATACAATTGTTTTTTACAAGAAACATCAATTCAGGATTTTCATGAAATTGCCCAAAAAAAAAAAAAAAGGAAGATGAATCACAGTTGAATTTATTATTGAGAAAACACTTAACAAATAAGCCAAAACACACACACAAATTCGAGCTTCGGGCCAATTCCATTTTGAGCAAAGCCAAGTGGTAACTCAGTTCACGAAATGGCAATTTCTCCTGATCTCCCCCACTTTACCAGTCAGCACATCAATGGAACCCATATGCACCATAGCAGCAGCATATTCGGCAGCCCAGGCAGATCCATATACTGCATTGTACCAAACCTGCTTAGCAGTCGAGGGACTACTCAATAATGTTTGATCAGATGTCAATAACCCACGATGATATTTCAAGTTCACATAATATTTGTTGTCCAGGCGAAAAGGGGTTGAAACATCAAGATTAGCAGTTGGGTTACTGCTGCCACCGTTACTTGGAGGAGGGCAAATTGTTTTCAAGAATGCTGCGTATTCGGGATCCAGCGCAGGATCTCGAGGATGACTAGCACTAAAGTTGTAAAGCCTGTTTGAGAAGGAAAAACAATGTGCAACACCAATGGAGTGAGCACCGGAAAGCGTAACCATTTCATCCAGGGACAATCCCTTTGCTTCGAAATTTTCTTCGAGTTGCGTGACGTTGAAGAAAGGAGCAGGAAGATTTTGTATAACTTCATCACTCAAAGAAACACTGCCATCGCGACGTCCAGCAGGCACTTGATAGCTTATCCCTCCAGCAATTAAGGCGCTGTCTCGAGCAGCGAATGCTATTATGTCCGCACATGAGACAGTTTTAGGGCATGTAGCTTCGATTTCGGCTTTGGCTGCATCAATTACCTCGAACCCATGAAGGCTTGGGTTATTGACAATACTATCTTTCTCAGCTGCAGGGCCCCCAGGAACTGTGTCTAGCAGCACAGAACCATCGCAACCCTGAATTGTCACGACAGAACTTAACAATTGAAGATTTAAAACAATCAAAGACTTAGATTTGGTGAATATATCTTGGCTAGAATTACGGTACAATAACAAGTCAAGTGAGTTGAGTAACTTCATTCATTAATTTTTCCAGATCATTGTTAACAACTTTAACATATATATAGCCTGAACAATTGCTGAATGTGAAATAAGATTGACAATTACTTCCATTTAAATGGTTTGGGTAATTTTCATCCGTTACAACACGTTGACATGGCATTTGCACGATAAAATTATAAATAGTGTAATGCTGATATTATTTAGGGTAGAAAGTATAGGATACCCTGACGAAGCAATCATGAAAATGCATCCGAATGAGCCCAGCAGCCGTTCTTGGATTGCTAGCCACAGCCTTGTAAACAGCTTTTCTGACAATTGCCTCAGCAGGAGGGCAATATTTGTTGTAAAACCCGACTTTAAGTAGTGGGGAAGCCAGACTGAACTCAAACTTGATGAAAATCAAACACGAAAGCATCAAAAGCACAGCAAATTTGGAAGTCAAAGAACTCATTGTGCTTGCTAGTCACTTTGTGGTTATGTATGTTCGTCTTTTTGAGACAGGGAGAGATTGCAATGTCCAGAGACCTTTAACAATGAAAGATTGAGCTAAGTCTTGGATACAGTTCGAGTAGATTATTGGAGATTTATAGGCAGAGAGATTTTAGAAGATCGCCTGCATGCATGATTATATTATACTGCTTGGAAATGCAAGACGTGCGTAGTTGTTGAGAACTAATGATGCGAGAGTTTTGAAGTTTTCTTCAGGCTTCTGACTTTGCACTGTTTTCTGCCGCCTTCCCATTAAACATTTACCTGAGCTCTCTCCCATCCAAACGCCCTTAAAACATATTTTACATCTTCATTAGTTTCCCTTTTCTCTTCATTTTTTATTTTTTACGTTCTTCAATTATCACTTCTCCTGCTGGCATAGATGGTTATATACCCTGCTATGAATGTGTGATGTTTGTTATTTTTACCTGATGTGTGCATCCAGTTAAACACAAGCAACTTTGGCTCGAGTCATACTTGCAGGCGAAGAAATTTTCTCCGTCGCCAAACTTTGCATGGTTAATTTTGTGCATTTTTTATATAACTGGAATTGACCAAAATACACAGTATTCTACTGAATCAATGAACAATAGCATCCAATTAATGATCTAAGACCCTTTGAAACAATACAAAGGAAGGGCATTATGCTGGACATACCCGAATATTTTTTCTCAACTCATCAAGGAAAAAAGTGAGTAAATGGGATGCTTTTGCGATAGGTTTGTAAATACTATAGCATCAAGTGTACAACGTAGATATTCAGGCTATGGAGCAGAATTTGGTGAAAACATAATATGGTTGCAGCTGCACACCAACATTAGTCCCAGAAAACTAAGGTACTATTTCATAATCCAATTCAGTATTTAAACCTAATGGTTGGGTTCAGATTTTAATCTATTCATACGTATTTGATGATAAAAAATAAAACATCTCAGATGTCACTCAATTTTCTAGACAAAATTTATTCCAAAAAATAAGTGATTACTTATTCACTTATCATTTAATACAGATATACTCGAATGATGGGATTTTAATACTTAATAATTCAGTAATTTAATGGATTCATATTTTAGATTTTAGATTTTAATTTTTGATACTTCAATCTCATTAAATGCATCCTAAGGTGATTCTGGTGTTATTGTTCACGTTAACAATTGAGTGCCCCGTCTGGATTGGCTATAAATAATCAATTTTATAGATTCACTGTGCATTCTCAAGTTGCATATAAAACAATTAGAAGTTGGGGCAAATTATTTCATAGTACTTCTCAGGTTGTATCTAAAGAATTCGGTTGGACGATCACATCAAATGATATTTTGAGTAGCATTTGGTATGATGGATTAAAACTGGAAAGCTTGGAATGCTTCCTAGAACTGACATATGTCTACAACTGGAAAAGCAACAATTGCCTGCACCAATATAAAGGTCGATCAGTGTTTAGAAAGGTTGATTCTGGTGGAACGAGAACAAGCCATATGGCCCCTACGGGGTAGCTCGAGCGGTCCGCTCCCCCTCCTTAGGGTATGGCGATCTTTCTGGCTTGTCCAGGGTTCGAGTCCCGCTGTTAACATGTTCAGTGTGGAGTGGGGCCTCTTCTCTCGGGCCGTAGGGAATTAGTCGGGTCCCGTAAGGAATTAGTCGGGTCCCATAAGGATTGATCCGGTCACCCCTGTGTTGACAAAAAAAAAAAAAAAAAGAGAACAAGCCATATGTACCAAGTTATCAGCGTACAAACGATTAGTGATTAAACCATTCGGGGATCGCCGAGAGCTGTTAGAGTTAGAATTAATGAAGGTTGAGAACGTGAGATTGAAAATCCCCCTTCCGTTTAGACCAATTAATTATGTGTTTGTATCCGAGTTATACCAAACCAAATAGGGAAAAAAAATGCCATGGAAGATGCACTGACGCCAATTAAACCACTGTGTTTTGGTTCAGTGGTCACCGATCACTAAAAAGAGATTAAATCCTTCTTTGAACTATAAGTCGGGGTTTCGAACTTACCTACAGTAAACAAAAAATCCAAAATCTTTTGATCTATTCGAATCTGTAGACCCACTAACCCTTATACAACCTCTTTAAAATAGATTAGATTATAAAAATGTTATTGTTGCGACAAAAAAAAAAAAACTCTTGCACATTAGTCCCTTGCTCTAATTCATTTCATATTTGCAACAGACATTAGTTTCAATTTTGATTTGACCCCTATTTAGAACTAGAATATGGTAATTAAAAAAGAAAAAAAAATGGTGAAACTTGAGAGCTTGTGATTGGAAAAATGAATATGATCAAACATGATAATACTCAATTATTCAATTTAACATTGTTCTTGTGTCGAGCTATGTTAATCGAGTTATTAGATTCAAACTTTTCATACTCCAAGAAATTAAAATGGAGAAAAAGGAAGACCTTTTTTTTAACCGATCATAAACGAGGCCTAAGCCCATTTACATATTCACAATTGTTTTGTTTCCTTCACCAATCTTATCTTGTTTGGAGTTTGGACTGATACCCTCCTAGGCCCAACAAATTGGATTGAAAAGGGCGCCAAATGCCAATCAAAGACGTACAACTTGTTAAACTGCGATTGAAGCTAGCAAAGTCTAAGCCGTAAATCAAGAAAGAGAGAGATGTGGAGAGACAAGAGTCCCGGAGTTAAGATCCTCTGGATCTGGACCATCGGAACTGCCGCCGGTACTGATTGCTACCGTCTCTCGTCTCTCCTTTGTCCACCACTTCTGTCCCTCCATGAAATTCCGCATTTCTTCTGCTAAAATGGGTTCCTGTTTTTGCTTTGTTTTGTTGCAGTTTTGGTGACAAATGTTGCTAGGACTAGGATGAGGGACATGGAGCAGCTCATCAACTCCCAATCCCAAGAACAAGAGCAGCAGCAACAAAACCCACATATCATCGACTCTGTTATAACTGACCAGCCATCTGATCCTGCTTTTGAAGCCATTCGAGAAGAGAAATCGTAGCTTTTGACTAGAAAGTTTTTTGTGAACCTGCTAGTGTTGCTTTCCCGCCTAGGATAATACTAGGTGTTTGATGAATTGCCTGACTGAGATGTCTACTACCTCTTTCAAAATCCATATGTTGAATGCTTTGCTTGTCTTGCTCCTTCCAACCATTTCAAGCTCAAATATCTTGCAGGCGCGATGGGGTGACAGTAGCGACTTTTTGAATTCATGACTTCCTGCTTGCAATCTCTTCTATTTTACCATCCAACTTGCCAGAGCGAGAGTGGTTTTTACACATTTGTCGTTCCTCTTTCATTTTCGTTTAACTATCAACATGCGTGTCTATGTTCGGAATCACAGGAATTGATTGGTTTTGGTGACTCCCAAGAATGAAGGCATTAGGCTTTACACTCTTTATTATCATACTTGATTCTGGTTTATGCAACTCCCAAGAATGAACAAGGCCAGGTAGCAGAACTAGTCAATCATTTCGGTTGTGCATCAAATGACAAATACTGAGCCTCAAAATCTGGGATGATTTCACCATTTTTTTGTTTTTTTTTGTCTGATAAAAATGAAAGTCTCGTCAACTAGATGGTTGAAATCGTCCACCACCAACACCACTTGCTTAACAATAGACAAAAGGGAAATTCAATCACTAATTGGCGGAGCAATTGCTTGAAAACAGACAGGGAAAAATCCCACAAGAGTCAACAAAGTCGGACAACTTGGCAAAACGAGCCAATTCATGATCCGCAGCCCGCTTTGCTTGCCTTCATTGGAACCTAAAGTTACATCAAAATTGGAAAAGACTACTCGCACTTGTTTTCTACTATTGGTCAAGTCCTCATTCTTGTTTTCTGCTATTGGTCCCATTGCACCTACTTCAAGTGTATTCTTTGAGGTCAAAGAAAAAAGAATTAGCTATGGAGCTCATATCTTGTAAAAATTATTTCTATAACCCAAAGTAATTTTCGAAAATTTTTACATGTTTATTAGTAATTGAAAATTTTGGATTGCTGATTAAATTTTAAATTAGTAAATATTCTTAAACCCCTTGTAAAATGTTTGAAAATATTTTCTTTTACAATGCAATCATTTATTTTTTTTCTCTTTTTTCATTGCATAAATACACATATTTCTTGAAACTACAAAAAAAGCATCAAATAAACTTAAAATCTAAGGGCATATAAGTGTTTAATAAGTGTACAAAGTGTGTATTTAGTATCGACGCCCCTCCTTATTATACTTTCTAATAGTTAAACAACAATTTTGGTTCAAGAGAAAAATTTACTTATCAAACTAAAAAAATTTTAATAATTTAGTGACTAGTTTTGTTATTTACTTGCTTGCTTGCTAGTAGTAATTAAGAAGCTAGTCACAAGTGCATGCAATGAACTCACCCGGAATTTTACCCACACATGAGTATGAGTTTCCCCCCCCCCCCCCAACAAAACAAGGCAATTGACTGCTGACTCAATCCGTACTTGAAGATTGAAAAGCAGGTGCTTCTTTTTTCCTTTTCTAACGACGGCAAAGCAACGGATGATAACGATATTGCACTACTTTTTCAGTGGCTCACATGCATGACGCTACTGTGGATGCCAAACGCGGAACCCATAAGCAGCGGAACGTGTAAGCCACTCCTGAGTCCTGGCCCTGGGTGCATCTACAAAGCAACCGCTTCCGTCGGACATTCACTTTTTCTATCCTCCACTAACTATCCCTATAATCATCCTATCCCACCTCCACAAAAAAATGTCACCAAAATTCGAGAATTATGGAATGACAAAGTGTTGTTTGGATTGCCATTTACATATTCGACAACCATCACTTTTTTATTTTATATATATTAAATTATTACAAAATAATTTTCTATAAAAGCAAATAGGCTTTCATGTTAAAGAACTAGTCAAGAGTGGCCGGTACATCACACCCTTGCTTGCATGAGGTGAGAGTCTCACGTACGGACGGAGCTGCATCCTTACTCACCTGGTGTCAATTGTAGAAATTTTACGATCAATGATTGGACCATGGAAACTAGAAATATTTTTTTTGGGGGATAAAGGAACATATTAATTATGTTGAATGCCCTCGTAGAATTCATAATTGCACGAATCAACTTTGGTTAACCATGATTTGGAAAAAAAATTTATTTGCTTATATTACAAACATAATTTTTAATACATCTTTTTATCTTTTCAATCACTTTTTTATCTCACATATATTATATGACAAAAAGTGTTATAGTAATTATTTCAAATAATCTTCTATCCAAACGCATGTATTAATGTGTCGAGTTGCTACTATCCCAAGTATCAATTGTATGACCCATCTTTTTATCAATTGTATAACCTTTCTATCTTGGAATTGTAACATTTTTTCTCAAAGAGATTAATTGACCTTTTTAATTATTAGTAATATCTTACAAGATTAGATAATTATTGTACTGACATGCAAAGCAATGAACTTTATTATTTTGTTGTAAATCATTGAATACACTATTTCATGCTGTTAATTATTGATTCAAATTTGTAAGCAACTAGACAAGAATAGTTTATCATGCCTTTTTAAACAACTTGATTAGGCTTACAAATCACTTATCCTTTTTTTTCTTGTCATTAAACCACTTCCACTGGCTAGGGTCTCATATAAAACCAAATAATTTGTAAATCTAAATTACCTAAGTTATCCACTATATAAGAGGTCAAAATAAGATATACCACATAGGACTGAATGATGAATCGAGTTATTCGATACCCGATTCGAGTTTGATTTGATAAAAGTTCGTTTGATTCTGGTTTCCCAACTAATTAAGTGGAGTTTGACTAGCGTCTTATATTCAATAACTTTTAAATTCGATAAAAAAAACTCGTTCAAATCTGATTCATCAGATAAACAAAGTTAAATTTAAATAAAATTTTAAACTTGTTAAAACAATCAAACAAACTTGAATATTAAGATGTTCGGTTTCGTTACACACTCATTTACAGCCCTAATAGCCGACCTCATAAGGAGGTTAAAGTTTTTTCAAGGGAAAAAAAAAAACAAAACGGAGAGAGAGAGGATGTCAATGTAATAACCAAAAGTTAATGAGGGAAATTTCTATAACCTTGCTAAAAGTTGGAGAAAGTTAGTATATAAAATACCCCGACCTTTTTGGGTAATTGTAAGAAAGTCTCAGGCTATAAATAATTTCCTGCGCGTTAAAACTAACCATATTGGTGCTCTCTCTCCCTCTCTCTCATCTTCCCTTTCTCTCTCTACGTTTCTATCATCGCACAAAGCAAAGAGTCTCTCATAAGACTCTAATTCCTCGATTTTTCGACATCTTGGTTTATGAGGTAATAATGAATTGATTTTGAGTTAGCTTTGATGAGATTTGCAGATAGATCTGATTTTACTCTTTAAGAAATTGCTGAAATGGAAAATCTGCTTATTGTTTTTTTTTTTTCCAAAAATGTCAATTGAACAATCGGTGTTAATTGTTCTTTCAAGATCGAATGATTCGTTCATTCTGATGTGTTAGGTGACTAATCGTCTTCCAAAACAGGAAAAGATTGGAATTGATTTAACAAAAGCTAGCCTTTGTTTTTTTTTTCATATGATTTCTTGCTGTAGATTTAGCTGAGAAGACGTTTTATGGTTCAGTTATATATATATAGATCTAGAAGATAGCTGATTTTATTGTTTAAAAATTTTATTCACGAATCACGATGGAGTATTGAACTTATTGATCTGGTGTGATTTTGCAGCTCGAAGGAGAGACCCACTCTTGGGTAAGTTTCCTTTAATTTTTAGGTTTTCATGCATAAATCTGTAAATAGGATGTTCATTTGCTAGTACTAGCTATTGATTATGTTTTATTATGATTTGACGTCAAATTGGAATATTCTGGTGGATAGTTATTGATTTCCTGGATATTAATTTTAAGAGTTTGGAGAACTGAGTTTTATGATGTGATATAAAATGAGGCTTCTCTGATGGTGAAGCTAAATTCAAGTAACTGCTTTGAATGTTTGGGACCTTTGTCATTTAGAACGCAATATTAAAATAAGGTTTCACTTTCTGCAGTTTTAAATGCAAGAGAACTAGTAATTGACAGCAGAATATGTGACTTTAGCCCCAAAAGAACACAAAAAAGGAAGGAAGAATGAAAGAACCAAAGAAATGTTCCAACTGGGAATTTATCCTTAAAACACAACAGTTACACACTGCTTTGCTGGTTTTCTGCAGTTTCTTTAGACTTCAAAACGCCTATGGTTTTGTTTCATCAAGATGATGCTATTTTGGTTCTGAAATTTATGGTTTTTTCTTGTTTTATTTGCACTTTTGAGTTCTATATGTTGTTGCATCATTGCCAAAGTGATAGGTCATGCTCCATAGAGAGTGTGATGCTATAAGTTTTCTTTCATGCATGTAAAAATTGCTCTGTCAGGTTGTTGATTTTAGCCTGTCAAGACTGAGGTTACTCCCATCAACTATTTTTCATTTATCCTGTGGACAACTCAATCAGAACTATCGTGATTTGTTCTCTCTTATATGTTGTCAACTAAATCAGAAGCTTAGTTGCTTAATTGACCTGATTTTCTTTTGCAGTTGTATATTTGTTTGGCAATTAATATGATTATATACATAGGTAGTACAAATAAAATGTGTTAATCCTGAATATTATGGCCTGTTGTGTTTGTTTTAAACACTTACCCTGTTTAGAATTAGTTGACAATTTGGTCTGCCGTACAGTGGCACGCGGATTAAGACCCGCAAACGGAATATTGCGGCACCGCTGGACCCTGCAGCATTTGCGGATGCAGTGGTCCAGATTTATCTGGATAATGCTGGTGATCTGGTAAATATTTTTTTGATCCATACTAACTTCATTTTCTCCCTTTTTCTTCTGTTTTTCTTTGTTTATATTCTACCTGCTTGTGCATTCTTACAAGTTTGTACGCATGTTTGGCTGGTGAAGGGGTCAAAGAGGTTCCATAATAAATTTTGCACTTCATGCAGGAACTTATTGCTAGGAGCATTGAGTCCTCAGACCTTAACTTCTCAAGATACGGTGACACCTTTTTTGAGGCAAGTATCTCAGGATTTTTGTAAAGCTCTTTATATACTTGATGCGTGTATTGCCATTAGTTTTTAATATTTCAATTTCCATCTCACAATGACTGCAAACATTGTCAGTGGGAAGTAAACAAGAATGTCTGTAAGGTTTGATAAAATTTATGAATTTTGAGTGGAAAGAACTGTTCCTGCTACCCATGAACTTTTTTAAATGAGATTGTACAGCTAAGGATAATTGAGACTTTCTTGTGCTTTAATTGGATGGTGATGTTGTTAGCATTGTGAATGAGTCTTGTTTACCATTGTGCTTGAAGAAAAACGAATGAAGCT